CCAATGAATCAGCGATAGCGATGGCCGGCGCTGCATCAGGATAACACTGGCCAGGGCTTCGATAGCGATGGCCAGCACTGCGGTGGAGAGCGATGGCGCACCGATGGAGAGAGATAGTGTAACGATGAGAGAGATGGCCCAGCGATGGAACGGGCTATAATGGCCAGTGCTGCGATGGCAGCGATAGCGATGGCAGCGATAGCGATGGCAGCGATAGCGATGGCCAGCGCTGCGGTGCGAGCGATACCAATTGTCAGCGCTGCGATGGTCAGGCGAGCGTGACGGCTGCGATGGGGGATATAGCTTCGCGTCGCGATGGCGATGAGCTAAGCGCATCGATGGCGATGGTGCATGGCGAGAGTTGGAATGGATTGCGGACTTCGTATATGCAACGCCGTTGACATTTACAAAATGTCCTAATGACTGCGAGACCAGAACTTATAGATTTCCGGTGTTGACCTCGGCGCACAACGAATCGCCGCGCCTCGGCACGCAATGAACCCTCACCTGGCCTCGACGCGCAACGAACCGCCTCGCCGGATTCCTGCGCCTGACCTCGTGCGTCGCATCATGTCGATCAACCGTCTAGACTACAACTGCGAAAATGACATTGCCTGCCCCTTGTTTTCTGGAACTGTCATATCATTGCACGCCGGAGTTGACGGAGATTTTGGGGCCTCCGGCATGTCAGTGGCTCCGTTTATCTGCGCCGTTAAAAATTGTTGATCGACGGCCGACGATTTCCGCTACCTCTGACCTTTCGAGGCCCAAGCTGCCCTTACCCGTTTATAGGCCCTGGCGTCTTATGGGGCCAGGTGTGCGATATGCGAATCGATACGGCCCCACCTTGATCCCGACGCGAGGCCTGTTGCAGGAAAGTATAAAAGGCGTTGTCGCCCTTGTGTTATCCCTTTTGTTGCCACTATCGCTTCCTCGCCCGTTCGGATATTTTGTCTTCACCCCCCAACTCCTTCCGCCATATCCCGTTCGCTCTTCGCTCTTCGCTCCGTCCGCAGTTGCCGCATTGTGTTCGGTTCACTCTCCGTAGCTCGCTCTTCGTGGCTATATATCCATTCGCCAAAGCCGGTTCGGTCTTCGTGGCAAGATTTCCATTCGCCATAGCCGGTTCGCTCTTTGTAGCTCGATATCCCTCCACCATAGCTGGTTCGGTGGTCGTACATCCATATCCGTCTGACGTTGGTCGCTCGCTCAACTCACGACGGAGGTACGATTCTGTAACTTCAGTTGTCCTATTCAGTGTCCGATGTCCGAACAGATTCCCAGATGCCCTGTCTCTACCTGCAAGATATAACGCCGCATGTTGAACCCCGAATCAATTCCCGGTTTTGTTATTTCGCCAGCGGACGTGTTCTGATGTCTTTTCTTCMCCCTCCMCCTCCGTCCGCCATAGCCGATCCACGTTTCGCAGCTCCATTACCTTTCGTCATAGCCATGATAACGTTAGTATAAAGCTGCTCGATTCCCTTCACAACTTATAGTCGTCACTGCGCATGGTGAACCCCGAAGCAACACTAAGTTTTTGTTGAACACCGAATCAATTCTCGATTTTAGCTCACCTCTCCCTTGTGAGGTCGCCGACCTGACATATATATATATATATATATATATATATATATATATATGTACTCGTCAGTGCCGCTCCTAGAAGACTGAATCAATTCGTGGTTTTGTTCATCCATCCCAGCGAGGTCGGAAGTGATCCACAACTGCGACTCAGTTCGCAGTTTGCGACCTACACTGTTGGAGGAGTCACAACTGCGAGTTAATTCGAAGTTTTCCCAAGATTAAACACCTTTTTCGTTAAAATGACTTCTTTATTTGCACAACTGCGAGTCAGTTCGCACTTTATGACCAACACTACTGGAGGAGTTGTTGTCCTCCGTCTCCGGAATTTGGAGTTAGTTCGCACTTGTAGACACCCATGTCGTGCGTCTTTCAGGTCTTCATTTCCACAACTTCGAGTTGGTTCGCACTTTCCCCAAGATAAGTCGCCTTTTCTTAAACATGACTTTCACATTTCCAGAACTGCGGGTTGCAATTGTTGTCTTGTCTCCAGAACTGCGAGTTAGTTCGCACTTGTCGATAACCTTCACACTTGTCTATACCCGCGCGGTACTTGTTGCAGCGGTGTGCATTCCCAGAACTTCGAGTTAGTTCGCACTACCGCGAAGAGTTGTTGTCTTCCCTCCGAACTCTGTCTGCCAGAGGAGTGTTGTCTTTCCTCAACTTTACCCATTTGTTTTGACTTCGTTTGCATTTCAAACACCAATCTCGTGCGTCGGTTTCCTTGTCCCCAGAACTCCGAGTCGGTTCCCGCTTGTCGATACCCATGCTGTACTTGTTGTAGACGACTTTATTCCCAAAACTCCGAGTTAGTTGCACTTTCTGGTAGATAAACCACCTCTTCCTCGTTTCTAGGACAGCGAGTTCGTTCGCGTTCTTTCCGAGGAGCTGTTGTCTTCCCTCCGAACTCACTTTGCTAGAGGAGTGTTGTCTTTCCTGTCCTTTACCCAATTGTTGTGACTTCGTGTACATTTCAAACACATATCTCTTACGTCATTTTCGTCCTCCATTTCGTCAAGTCCGAGTTAGTTCGCACTTTGCCTCTGTAGTGTTAGGAAAACCTCGTTGCTTTCCTCCCGGTCATCCGATTGGGTCTAGGGTTGGCATGTTGGTCTAGGGGTGGGAGTAAAATGGAGTCTGCGAAGAACGCAACCACAAGCGCTAGGTCGTCTGCCCCCGAGGAGGGACGACCTCTTCAGCAATCTCCTTCTCCGTATCTCCATGCAAGGGATGCACAATGGTTTTTGGACTTTGTTGTTCAGGGGAACCTTGTTGGGCCAGCTGTTTTCATGCAACCCACTTGCGTTCCAGGCGCTGAGGGAGCGGGCGACGTTATTCCTCTCGGTACCATCATCTCGTACGGCAAGATTCCTGGAGGTTTGCTTAAACTACACACTAACGTCTTGTACGACAAGTGCAGACTGCCTTTGAGAGGTGTTAAGGGTGTGATAATGACCATCAAGAGTTTCGCAGGTTACGGGTCGAACAAGCCGCCGTGTCGTCACTTCGCAGGGCTTTACGATGGCAACAGCAAGCGTCTCCCGTCGCCAGTAGAATACCTTGATCTCGCGCCGAAGGTGCCGAAAGGACGTCCGGTTCTTCTACAAAAATATGTTTTCCGGCTTCTAATGACCCACGAGGGGTCGTCCGACTTGGCTCAAGAAAACCTTGAGATGCTAGTGGGGCACGGGAGTGCGATTCACGGCACTGGGGGTCAGGGCAAGGGGCACGCGCGCAGCATTCAGACGCAGGTCGGCCCGGATGCTCCTGGGAACACGTCAGACTTGCATTCTTCAGATGCAGAAACTCTATGGGTCTACCAGGGCGACACGTATTCGCTTCGAGATGAGACGAGAAGAGAATCCGGCAGATCGGGGCAAGAGGTTGGAGGGAATGAGGCTGAAGGGATGGATGCAGTCCGCAACAGCTCTGGTGGGGAGCCGACTTTTTCGGAAAAGAAGCGCGGGCGACAGAGGATAGTGCGAGAAGAGGTGGCGAAAGAAACCCCCCGTATGAAGAGGATGAAAGGACACTCAGAGCCGATGATTGGCGGGTATGGAGGTGTCATCAGAGAACGTGCCTCGGGAAAGAGGACGCCAGGGATGCGTGGCGGATAAGAAGAACGAGTCGAAAAGAGGCTGTCGAAGGAAGAGGGTGCATCGACAAGTAAGAAAGCGAGGAGGCCCGGCAGTTTGACCATCCGCGAAGGACAAGCTATGGGTGGAGGAGATTCGGCTCATAGGCAATGCCGCCGCGAGAGAACCTTCGGAGAAATCCAAGAGGAAACTGGCAGCTGGAGAAGGCGATGGCGAGAAGAAACCTCGCGGGAGGAAGACTGTTGAGGCGGCGGGCGGTGGCGAAAGGGCTGTCGGTAACCAGTACGACGAAGCGGCAGCGTTCTGGCTCGAATACGAACGAAACGAGGACGGTGAGATCGTGGAGAAGGAGCTCCCCCTTCAACTGCGGGAAAGATATTACAACCACCGCAGTCTGACTCGCGATGGTGTGGAGGACATCAAGGAAGCGATGCTAAGGCAGTTCCACGAGGAAAAAAGGAAGATCTGGACGAAAAACCCTTTGGTTCTGGCACCATCTACAAGCCGGTGACGCATAGGCCGGAGCAAGCAGAGAGGGTTCACAAACATGTCTTCAAGTGAGAGGACAAGTACAAGTACTTCTATTACCCTGTCAACGGACAACACACCGTGACTGCTGTGAAGGAGTTGGACGGTGAGCCAATATTCGATTTGTGGAAGATGCACTCGTGACCGGCGAGAGTCGTCTGGTTCTCCGACGAAGACTTCGGTGGGGTATTTGCAGGTCAGTCTCACAGTGAACACAAGACACAAGATGTCTAAGCAGCGTGCACAGAAGGCCGCTTTCGAGGACATGCGGGACGCGTGGGAGAATAAAGGAAGTCCGGTGGCCATTCAAGGGAACCCTTCCGGCAAGGAGGCCGAAAAACAAGCGTTTTTCGAGTTCCAAAAGCTGCTTTTGGGAAAGAGTCCGAACGGGGCACACTAGACGATGGCAAGCAAACCGACAACGCTCGCTGACAAGGAGCAAATCGTTGCCATTGGCAATGCATTGATGCAGTGGATGCCGCTCATCACGGCCGGTGATGACGTTTTCCGCAAAGGCATGGAGTTCTACGACAAATGGGCCGAGGGGACGTTGTTGGGCGGCGACGGGAAGAAGCCCGTTTAACCGTAAATCACATTGTTCTCATTATAACAGGTTGGGTTGGCTCGTCGACCTGTTTTTTTTCGCATATTGGTGACGTCGGTTTAGATCTCTCCGTAACTCTCATCGGGGAGTAGTCATGTCATAACCTCATCAATCCATGCACGTGTAAAAGAGGAGAGAGAGAGAAAGGACAAAGGGGGAATAGAAGGGGAGGAAGAAAGGGAAAAAAGGGGGGGGAAAGAAAAGAGACGGGAAGAGCAAAAAATAAAAATAAAAATAAAAATAAAAATAAAAATAAAAATAAAAATAAACATAAAAATAAAAATAAAAATAAAAATAAAAGTTCTAATCAGAACACGTGTCTTCACTGAAGCAACAGTAGAACGAAGTGATTGGCAGATGGATTTAGACACAATTATTTCTGTAGCACGATAGAAGTAACAAGGAGCAGAAGATCAAGGCAATCAATCTACTTGTTTGATCCCTCCGATCCGGTCAATCCTACTTTTGAAACTAAAGGGACTGGAGCGTGGACTGCTTCTAATCATTGCGAGTGTGGTCTTGACAACGTCAATGATTGTGCTAAGGTGCTACCATTCTTCGGTGTGACCGTGGGACGTAGGTCAAGCAGGGGTGAAGAGGGTGTAGAACGGAAGAGAATCATCGTAGATGTACTAGCTGTGCCTGGCGGATCGTGAGGGAGAACAAGCTCCGATCAAGCATGAGAAAATTACCAAAACATATCGCAAACACCCGAGCGCGTCACACACGATTAATCCATTCATCCAAGGAGCCGATCCGAGCTACCCAATTTTCTGCCTAATTTCCTTGCTCGAAAAGTAGTCAACCCCAGTCGTAACGCTGCAGTTGCTTTTTCTTTCAGAAGCTCGGAAAGACCAATCTGGAAAGAACACGCTTTATTAGAAGAAAGCACATAAAACTGAGCTCGTATTTTCATGCGAAAATTCAGAAAGAACACGTTTTAAGAGAAGAAAGCACATAACCTGAGCTCGCATTTTTATGCAAACAATCAGAAAGAAAGGTTCGGAAAGAATAACTCAGAAAGAGCTTGCTTAGTGAGAAGAAAAGCATAAAAAACTGCGCTCGCATGACCTGTTTGTTCAGAGACTGCTATGCCAGCCTGATCCCTTTGTGACAGGGGGAAGTATCAGGTTCGTCCCTCTCCTTTTCTCTATCTTCTTCCCACTCAGTTGTTCTCTCTCTACTTCCGCTCCCTCCCTCTTCTTCATCAACCCTTTTTTTTCTCTTCCTCTTTCTAAACCGTATATATCCCTTATGTCATACGTACCCATACGTACATACGCCAAGTATGGATAAAAGAGTGAAAGGGAGGACATGCTAACTCAGCGAAAAAGATTGGATAGTCGATGCCATGCCGATGCGAGTAAAAATTGAAATACAGTGCGATCATTATTACAGAAAAGAGAACTTTCACAAAGGTCGATCAACTCAATGCTAGTAAGCATACCCATGGCCTACTGAACCTCGACGAGGAAGTCCCTGCGATGACGAGACGGCAGCACGCTCCTCCTCGTGGTGACGAAGCTCCGTAAAACACCAGCCAGAACACAAAAGAACAAGACAACATGAAGGAGGGGTGGGAGAAGATCCTGCAGCATGCCAATTAGTCCCGATACCGCTCTTAGGCAAGGTGGACTGATTGGCAGATCCACAGGAGGGAGTGGCACATTCCCTGAGGCCTTTCTGGCGCTTGCCACACGCGGCTTCATCAGAGGGAGCACCTTTTCCTTTGTCATCGGAAAAGGGTTGAGACAACAGGAAAGAGACAAGACATACAAAAAACGCACAAAAAACGCATGCAGAGCAGGGAGGAGAGAGAAGAGAAGCGAGGCTGCCATGAGTACGAAGGAATGTGCGATGGAAGGTGGGCGGGCTTTGGAGGAGGGGGGTTGGGGGGAGCGTGGGCGAATTGCTGCTCATCTCTGCTATCTGCGTGCTGTTCCGCTTACGAGCTCCAATACATTGCGATAAGCCCACTGGCCGACAACGCTAGTGCTAGGGAGGTGTACCCAATCGTGAGATAAAACATCGTTGCGGCCCGCCTGGCGGGAGCTAAAAGAACTAGCTCTAATTGGCAAGCCCAAACCGCTATGCCGCAGATGATAGCATTCGGTAGCATGGCTAGTACGAGGACGATCTCGCTGAATGTTGCATGTGCCATATTGTACGATGGGTTACCTGCTGACTGTCCGCAGGTGGGGGGCCTTGGCGATGCATAGCGTGCATCCAGGTCCAGGATCGGTATCAGCGGGGGGGAGTGGCGCGAGGCTGGACAGGGTTCTTGTGTGCAGTATGAAGATGGCGTAGTGGTTGTGGAGGGTTGACCCATGGTTCAATGTGCAAGGGTATCACCAGTGCGTGGAGGTTGGTTGGTGGGGAGGACGGGTGGTGGGAGGGACGCGATGAAGCAGAGGAGCGCTATGCATGCGAGCATGGCGAGGTATGCAAGGAAAGCGCACGTGGAGACCCCATAGGCCCCTCGGTTCTCATCGAGGTCTGCCATGCTAACTGCGTGCTGCCGCTGCGAACCAAGTCCCGGATGAACGCAGGCGGGGCTAGGTCGGTGCTATACCACTTCTTCGACGTGGGCCGGCTCCTCCAAGAGGTCCTGATCCACGAGGAAATCCATCTCAGCCGAAATCGACACCTCGCTGAATGTGAAACGTCCGTTCGTCTGATCGAACAAGCTCACTGAAATCCTCGCCCACAATCACTCCTTGGCAATGATTGATGAGTCTTGTAAGTGCCCCTCGCCCAATTTGACCAGAAGAGTGGTCCGCCTTGTCACCTCATGGAACTTGAATCGTCCCTGGCCCGGTGCTTTGAGATCCCTCCGCGACAATTGTGTCCCAGTATCAAAACTTCGTCATTCCCTGCTAATGATGCCTGCCGCTTTTTGAAATCTTCCCACCTTGCCGTGCAATTACCCGAAAGACTTAGCGCCCTGTACTTTGATAGCGCCCTGCGGCCATCCCTATTTCCAATGTTCTGGCCCCGAGTTCGAGTCCCGAGATTTCATATGCCTGCTGGCTCCGATGCCGGAATCGTCAATTCCTGAGCACTTCGTTGCCCAGGTGGTGAGGGCCTGTTCAGATTGGATGCCTATGCCTATGTGAACCTCTCTGATGCTAGCAACGGATCGAATCTGCAAGGAAACAATCAAAAAAAGGCGAAGGAAACAAAAGAGGGGGACAAAAAAAGGCAACAAGGAAGGGAACGGTATGATTTCTACGAGTCTTATTCCTGCTCTCCACGGTGCTAGCGTAAGGATCACAGTTCGAGCTTCGGCCCGTCCTGCCCTCATGGACTTTATTCTTGGGGTGATCCGCCTTATTCCCTAGTATCCCATCTATACGGGGGAATCCGTGCGTGTGCGCTCGGTTAGTCACGTCAGCACACTTATTTCCGCCGATAGAAAAGCTAGAAAAACGAAAAAATTAAAAAACGCGAAAAAAAGAGACACACAACGAGCAAAGCAAAAAG